GTTGGCTGAAAACTAAGCCCTAAATTTCAACCTGAAGGGCCATTGTCTGGTGGCTCCATCAGTCTCTCTCTGACCAGTAAGCCTGGTCTCCTAGGGTTCTGATGTTTGTTCCACATTTTCTCCCACTTGATCCTGGAGCATCTAATGCGATCACTTTCAGAGCAGTTGGTAGTGGTAGTTGGGCACCATCTAGCTCTTCTGGTCTCAGACTGTGGAGACTGATGGTCACATGGTCTGACTAGATTCATTGTTTCCAAGTATCTTCAATTTTTATCACTTTTCTCCCCTCCAGACAGGGAGAGCCCAATAGCTGCACCTTAGACAGTTGCTCATTACTTTTTAAGACCCCAGCCACTACCCACCAAAGTAGGATGTAGACCATTGTCTTTGTGGACTATGTCATGCCAATTGACCTTGGTGTCCCCTGACACCATGGACCTGAGCCCCCAGACCCAGTAAAGCGTACACTCAAAGTATTTGGCTATTTTTAAAAAGTTTTCATAACTTTGTCCCTTGATAATCCAGCACGTTTGTAGACACATTTGTAACAAAGGTACAAACCAATGTGTAAATATCCTTTGCCAAACCAAACATATATATATTATGTGTGGGTGTAGTCCTACTCTCCCTCCCATACCTGTATAGCTTGCATGTCGACTCAATTGCATATCGCCTTCCCATCACACAACTAGCACATGTATTAATTTCTTCCCAAGTTTAAAATCTACTTGACATCCTCTCCATTTGGAAGCTCTGTAACTTTTTAAAAAGTTCCCTCCTTTTATTTTGTAGTTGTAATTACACACTGGTACTCTAATTCCCTATGTTCAGTCTGATGGACTGGCCAAGAGGCAGCGTCAACGGACTCAAGCAGCAGTAGTGAGGTTGGCTCAGGATCAGGCAGTGTTTCGTTCTGCTGTGTATCAGGTTGCTGTGAGTCGGTACCGACTCGGCATCTAACAACAACAGGTTTGCTTTGGACTCCTGGTGTGGTGCTGTAGAATCACCACTGGACATTGAACGACAAGGTCAGCAGTTCAAACCCATCAGCTGCTGCTTGGAAATCTTACACAGGGTTGCTATGAGTCAGAACCGACTCGATGGCACTTAACAACAACAACAAAGTTTGTTTTACTATGGATATATTTCTATAATTAAGTTGACCTGTAGGTGTTTTGTCTTCATGTACATTGATCTCAAGTTGTTGTCTACTGTTCTTCTGTTGTTGAGTCCTTTTGTAAGGTGTGTCTTTTTTTTTTACAAATTCCTTTCATTTCTGCTTATCTGGAAATGTCCAAATTTCACCATCATATTTGAGAGACAATTTTGCTGGGTATAAGATTCTTGGTTGGCATTTTTTTTCTTTCAGAGTTTATATATGTTGTCCCATTGTCTTCTTGCTTGCATGGTTTCTGCTGAGAAATCAGAGCTTTAGAATGATTGCTTCTACTTTGTTGGTAACTTTTCCTTTTTTTTTTTTTCCTCTTTCATTGTCTTTAGAAAGTTTGATTATGATATGTCTTGGTGGTTTTCTTTTGGGGTCTACTCTGTTTGGGATTCATTCCGATTCTTGAATGTTTCTTTTTCTTTTTTTTTTTTTTTTTAATGGTATTAAGGAAGTTTTCTTCCAACAACTATTTAACATTTTTCTCTGTAGTTTTTTTTTTTTTTTTTGCTGTTCCCTCCCTTCCCTGTTCTGGAATTCTGATCACATAAAAGTTGTTCCTCTTGATGCTGTTCTATGTAATTCTTTGACTTTCTTCAGATTTTTGTTGTTGTTGTTTTTTCCTGATTTTTCTTCTAGAAAATTAGTATTGAGAGATTTGTCGTCAAATTCACTAATTCAGCCTTCCATTGATTTACTTCTACTTCTTTGCCCTTTCAGTATATTATCTACTTCTGATATTTTAGCATTAATCTTTTGGATTTCTATTTGCTGTTGTATGACTTCTTCTTAATTTGTCAGTTTATTCTTGTAGTGTTTCCCTGAATTCTTCTAAGTTTTGCCCATGTTTTCCTTGATTTTCTCTTCAGCTTTCTTGATCTTTCTCTCAATCTGCTGAAGGTAACAAAATGCCATGCTTTTGGAGTCCTTAACAGGTAGCTCCAATGCCATCCCCGATAGGTTTTTCAGCTCTGTAACTTGGTCATTCATCTGAGCCAATCTTTCTTGTTTCTTTGTGTGAACCAAAATAGTCTGTTTTCTCCAAGATACTGTGGTTCTGTTGTATTTGTACTTAACATGATCACATGTTGGTATGTTCTTACTCTCTCACTACCTGTCTTGTGGTGGGTGTGATAGAGAATGGGAGTATGTGTACAGTTCTCTGCTTGCTTTTCCTCTAGTGAAGTTGAGGGTGCATTTGGCTGGTACTGGTTGCTGTCTATTGATGAATGTGTGGGCAGGAGTTTACAGTGGTCCTTGTCAAGTAGATTGGCCTACAGGAGCCTGGATGGGCCATGTGGGTACAGTTGCTGTCTCTTGTCAAGTGGGACAAGAAAAGGAAAAACAAAAACAATAGCAGAAAAGAAAGTGATATAGAAACAAGCAGGGAGAAAGTCGGCAAGCAAAAGCAAGAAAACAGAATTTAATAACGTTTTTGTTGCCAACCGTCAGAGTACGATTGTGTTACCAGGCTGCTGTCCTGATCCACCGCCGCATACAAACAAACCTTCAAGATGGCTGTGCTGGAGTCAGGTCCAACCACAGTGCATCTGTCCGTCTCCTCTCTCGCTACTTTAGTTCAGCTTCTTCTCCTACTAGCTATTCAATCCACTTCTCCATCCTTTCAAGTGTAGGGTTCCATCAGTCACATACATTTCATTTGGTCTTTCAAGTCTTTGCTGTAGAGGGTCTGTGTAGTGTGTCTGCCCAGTCCGCCATCTTGCCGGAAGTCCTCAAACAGTCTCCCATTCTTCTTTTCATTTGTGCCTGGGCCATCACTACCTTGGGACCTTTGCACACACCTGTCCCCCACTGGACACCTCCTAGCTCCTCTCACTGCTGTTTCAGCTCACATGTGGCTCCCTCACAGAGGCCTTCAACCCCAGCCACTGTATCACCCCATCCCTCTCTCTACAAACCTTCTCAGCTCTGAGAAGCCAGGCCCACAGCTGCTGTGCCCCAGGTGCAAACCTTGCCCTCCTCAGCCCTGCTGTGTGAGCCTGGGTGGTTCACCTCACCTGACTGTCCTTCCATTTCCTCACTACCACAGGGCACTCCATAGGAGCCAGGGTGGTGAGTTTGTCTCATGCACTTCGGACATGTGAGCAGGAGTGACCCGTCCCTGGAGAAGGGTATTATGCTGACTAAAGTAGGGGTGTTAGTGGGAAACAGGGAGATCCTCAACGAGATGGACCAACACAGCAGCTTCAACAATTCGCTCAAACACAGTGATGACCGCAGGACTGAACAGCGCTTTGTTCTCTTGTACATGGGTCGACGTGTTCCTCACAACAGTGGTCACTACACACACCGTCTACACACAGAGTGCTGCTGTGAGGAGGAAGCGAGTTTGGCTCAGGGTGGGTGTCTGACAAGCAACAGAGGTCACTGCCGTCACTCTCCACATCATCATCTTGTACCCTGCGGACACCGAGGTGCATGACATCCGCGGTACAACAAATGCTTCAGGTCAAACTGACGCCCAGGGACCCACTGTGGAAAGCTGAACCCCCCGCGGCACAGAGCAAACACCACAGACAGAAAGAGCGCGCGGCAGCCACCACTGAGGAAGGCCACAGCTTCTGCCACGCAGCGCCTTTAACGCTCCCTCCTGATGAAAGTGGGACCCCCTTCCTCTTCAAATGCTCACTCCAGCTCTGTCCTATGTATCAAGCCAGAAGTGGCTCACCTCCTCGTTGATGTTGCCTGCCTGTCTTAGGTGCCTTGGCCCCACTGTGCCATGGTTGGGGCATTTACAGGGTGCATGCTGAGCTCGGACTGCCCCACAGCCACTTGGAGGCAGTGGCCAAGAACTGGACAGCAGGTCCCCTTTCTTGTCCCTCTGGGGTACTGCAAAGCTGGGGTGTGGAGCCAAACCTGCTCTGGGGGAAACTGCCTAAGCAAACAGGACGTGCGCATGAATCCAATACTGCCCTGTGGCTTTATTACCTGCAGTCTGTGCATTTGGAATGTTTCCCCTTTTTCTTTCTCAGAAACCGCTTTGAGATGAACTTATCCCAGCCCTGCCCCGACAATCACACCTTCCAGCCAGGTCTCTGACACATTCCATCCTCCAAATTCCTGACAATTACCACTCTGCCCTTTAGCAGATGAGGCAGCAGAGGCTGGCTGGTGGGGCCACCCAGAGCTCCCATCAGGGAGCGGCAGGCAGAGCTGGGTCCACACAATGGACTGGCCTGCTGAACTGGAGACACAGCTCATGGAAGGGGCTGCCCTGATCTTCTTCGTTCTATCTACTTCCTGACTACCCAGAATGCCACAGCCCAGGATAGCAAGCTCCGTCCTCTGCACCCACAACCACACTGCTGCAACACCAAGACCCAACTCCACATACCTGACTGCACCATGATCTCAGCACATGCGCTTCTGTGCCCTCGCAAATGCCGTTCCTCCTGCCTGTGAGCCCCTCCAAGAGTCTGTATGTGTGTCCTGGGCCCAGATGGAGGATTCTGACCTCCACTGCCCTGACACCAAGGCTGGCCAGCACCTCTCGACACCTACCCAGACTCTAGGCAGCAGCAGGTTCCCAAGCACCAGGGCCTCTGCTGGCTGGTGAGCCAGGTTTGAGGAGACTAAATACTGATCTGGCCTGGAGCCCCCTTTGGGGAAGCAGATGATGGGGAATGGGACCCCCTTCTCCCTAGGCAGAGCAAGCTCCACCCAGGAAGGAAAACAGCTTTTCTGGGCACATCTGCCATGTGTGGTCCCACCTGGTCCCCAGGTGGTGGCGCTGCACAGTGGTCTTCCTGCTACGGGGTGGAGGGAGCCGGCCGTGGCCCTGAGATTGCAGGGGGTCAGCCCGGGCTGCACTCACCATTGGAACGGTGGATGCAGGTGTGCTGGTTGTCACTGAGGAAGAAGCCGCTGTGGCACTGACACTCGTAGCTGCCCATGGCGTTGACGCAGATCTGCTGGCAGCCACCGTTGTTGGCCTGACATTCGTCCACATCTGTGAGGGGAGCGAGGGAGGGGGAGAGAGGTCACAGCTGGAGCTGGGAGAGGCTACAGTCACCCCCAGTGGTACCCCCCAGAGAGACTCCCAGCGGTATCCCTCACAGGTGCTCCTGGTGGTACCCTCCAGAGGTTCTCTTCCCTGGAGGTGTTCCTGGTGGTACTCTTAGGGGGTACTCCACAGAGGGGCTCTGGACATTAACCCTGGGAACACTCCCCAGAAGTAGTGGTCACACTGGCAGTAGTGCTAGCTGACCCTGACCGAGTGCTTCCTACAGAATCAGCACTGTTGTAAGCATCTCACCTGAACAGACTCCTTTAATCCTCAGGTCAGGTGCAGGTGTTAGCCCATTTTATAGATGAGGAAACTGAGGTGCAGAGAGGCCAAGTCCCTTGTCCAGGTGGCAGAGGTAGACTCTGACCCTCAGGCCTGGGCTCTGCCCTGTGTCCCTCTCCATCCCTCCCCTCGGCACCTGCCAACCAGCCATACCATAGACTCACCCAACAGCACCGGATTATAGAGCTGAAGGGAGGCTGGAGGACTCTGTCTGCAAATGGAGGGTTTCGAAGGCCCTGGCTTTTGTTGCTGCGAGCGGTCAGACAGCCCTCTGCGAGAAACAGCCAGACCAGGGCCACACTCACCGACCGACCAGAAGCTGCTGGCACTGGGGCACCTGGCTGGCAGAAGGCTTTATGGGGTCTGGTCTTGACCAGAGCAGCTGGTTTCATTGACTGAAGTCGTAACCCTCCCCTTCCACACACACTGTCAGTTTGTTTCAAGAAAGGAGGTTTTCTCAAACCCTAATGTTCCATGTCTCTATTGTCATTTTAATAGGCAAATATATAAAACCACAAAAGCAATATGAGCTATTGGCTGTTTCTAGCTGATCCCTGGGCCTCCCCCCCACCCCCCACCCCCCCACACACATTTTGGTCTTAGCCTTTTATGCAGTTCTAACAAAGACAATTTACAACTGGGACCAAAAAGATGTTAAAAGGTCCAGAGTCAGGCTGAGTGAACAGCATTGAGCCTGGAGAGGTCTTAGTTCTGAAACTGGTTAGCTGAGTCCTATTGAAGCTCACAGACCATCAATTACTGATATGGAAATTCAAACTGAAGCTGAAGAAAATGAAAACAAATCCATGAGAGCCAAAACATGACCTTGAATTTATCCCACCTGAATTTACAGGTCATCTGAAGAACAGATCTGATACATTAAACACTAAAGACGGCAGACCAGAAGAGTTGTGGGATGACATCAAGAACATCATACATGAAGAGACCAAAAAGTCATTAAGAAGACAAGAAAGAAGGAAAAGGTCAAAATGGATGTCAGAAGAGACACTGAAACTTGCTCTCCAGCATAGAGATATTAAAGCAAATGGAAGAAATGGAGGAGGTCCAAGAGCTGAACAGAAAATTTCAAAGATCACCTCGAGAAGATAAAGCCAAATATTACAATAAAATGTGCAAAGATCTGGAATCAGAAAACCAAAAAGGAAGAACACACTCAGCATTTCTCAAACTGGGGGAACTGAAGAAAAAATTCAGGCCTCGACTTTTGTTAATGAAAGACTCTCTGGGCAAATTATTGAGTGATGTAGAACACATCAAGAGAAGATGGAAGGAATACACAGAGTCACTGTACCAAAAGGAAATGGTTAATGTTCAACTATTTCTAGAGGTAGCAGATGATCAAGAGCCAATGACACTCAGAGAGGAAGTCCACAGTGCATTGAAGGAATTGGCAAAGAACAAGGCACCAGGAATTGATGGAATAAAAACTGAAATCTTTCAAGAAAGTGAGGCAGCACAGGAGGCACTCATTCATCTCTGCCAAGAATTTTGGAAGACAAGTATCTGGCCGATTGATTGGAAGAGATCCATATTTGTGCCCATTCAAAAGAGAGGTGACCCAATAGAATGCGGAAATTATAGGACAATCTCTTTGATATCTCATGTGAGTAAAGTTTTGCTGAAGGTAATACAGAAACGGCTACAATCATACATTGACAGAGACCTTCCAGAGGTTCAAGCCAGATTCAGAAGAGGCCGTGGAACAAGGGATATCATTGCTGATGTTCAATGGATCTTGGCTGAAAGCAGAGAATATCAGAAAGATGTTTA